GCATGTGATGCTCCTGTAAACTCACCTGGGGCAAGTAACAGGTGTGGGCAATATAGAAATCACACCTGAAAGCAGATAAAAAGGAGAGACGTTCACTTAACCTTTGCATTGTGTGTCTGTCTGTGCCACACTAAGCATGGACAACAGAAAGAGGAGACGAGAACTGTCTGAGGACCTGAGAACCAAAATTGTGGCAAAATATCAACAATCTCAAGGTTACAAGTCCATCTCCAGAGAACTAGATTTGCCTTTGTCCACAGTGCGCAACATTATCAAGAAGTTTGCAACCCATGGCACTGTAGCTAATCTCCCTGGTCGTGGACGGATGAGGAAAATTGATGAAAGATTGCAACGCAGAATAGTCCGATGGTGGATAAGCAGCCCCAAACATGTTCCAAAGACATTCAAGCTGTCCTGCAGGCTCAGGGAGCATCAGTGTCAGCGCGAACTATCCGTCGACATTTAAATGAAATGAAACGCTATGGCAGGAGACCCAGGAGGACCCCACTGCTGACACAGAGACATAAAAAAGCAAGACTACAGTTTGCCAAAATGTACTTGAGTAAGCCAAAAGCCTTCTGGGAAAACGTCTTGTGGACAGATGAGACCAAGATAGAGCTTTTCGGTAAAGCACATCATTCTACTGTTTACCGAAAACGGAATGAGGCCTACAAAGAACAAAACACAGTACCTACGGTAAAATATGGTGGAGGTTCAATGATGTTTTGGGGTTGTTTTGCTGCCTCTGGCACTGGGTGCCTTGACTGTGTGCAAGGCATCATGAAATCTGAGGATTACAAAGGATTTTGGGTCGCACTGTAGGGCCCAGTGTCAGAAAGCTGGGTTTGCGTCCAAGATCCTGGGTCTTCCAGCAGGACAATGACCCCAAACATACGTCAAAAAGCACTCAGAAATGGATGGCAAAGAAGCGCTGGAGAGTTCTGAAGTGGCCAGCAATGAGCCCAGATCTAAATCCCATTGAACACCTGTGGAGAGATCTTAAAATTGCTGTTGGGAAAAGGTGTCCTTCCAATAAGAGAGACCTGGAGCTGTTTGCAAAGGAAGAGTGGTCCAAAATTCCGGGTGAGAGGTGTCAGAAGCTTATTGATGGTTATAGGAAGCGACTGATTTCAGTTATGTTTTCCAAAGGGTGTGCAACCAAATATTAAGTTAAGGGTGCCAATACTTTTGTCCAGCCCATTTTTGGGGTTTTGTGTGACATTATGTCATATTTGCTTTTCTGCCTCTGTTTTATATTTGTTCCAATACATACAAAGGGAATAAACATGTGTATAGCAAAACATGTGTTAATGCAATACCTTTTTTGTGTGAAATACTTGATTTTCAGGAAAAATATCAAGGGTGCCAACAATTTCGGCCATGACTGTATATATATATATATATATATACAGTGGAGGAGATAATTATACGATCCCCTGCTGATTTTGACCGTTTGCCCACTCACAAAGAAATGATCAGTCTAAAAATCGAATGGAAGTGTATTGTAACACTGAGAGACAGAATAGCAACAAAAAATTCAAAAGAAAAGCATGTCTAACAAATTATGCACTGATTTGCATGTTCATGAGGAAAATAAGTATCTGATCCCCTATCATTCAGCAGGATTTATGGCTACCAGGTATCTTTCATACAGTTAATAAACTGAGATTAGAAGCAGTCTCTTAAAGGGAGTGCTATTAATCTCATTTTGTTGCCTGTATAAAAGACACCTGTCCACAGGAGCAATCAAACAATCAGATTCCAAACTCTCCACCATTGCAAAGACCAAAGAGCTGTCCAAGGATGTCAGGGACAAGATTGTAGACCTACACAAGGCTGTATATTTCAAAAATGGATCGTGCTAAGGTCACAAATAGACAAAATAAACTGAGCAATCTTTAAAGTGATAGCGCTGAGCAAAGTACAAATACAATATTAATATTCAGTAACAACATGTGAATAATTGGTGCAATGGTGCTGTATCTTTAACGGTGATGCTCCATATTGAAATGACAGGTGCTTCACTGTGTTCACACTTGTGCCCCACATAGATGCAAACTCACCATCATTTCATGACTACCTATCTCTTGGTAAGTCACACTCGCTTTTTGGGACTATCCCAGTTTACAATCCGGTCCTGATGGCAGATATTCCTTTGCCCTTATAACCGTGGTTGCTGGTAGTAACCAATAACGTTCCACTAGATCTGCATCAATGTTAGGCAACTCCTCTCCTCCACAGGCAGTATTTCATATTTTCAGCATAAATCAAAACAAAAGCAGACATCGCATAGTGTAAAACTGTATAAAACTTTAATATGGGGTCAAACAATAGAAATGCCACTCACAAAAAAAGTGCATTTCCTGGCACTAGGTGTATTCAGCTTTGCATATTATGAATGGGAATTAAGATGGCTGCCACATTCCAGCATGTGTTCCAAATCCCGGAAGTGAGTGACAGTGGAAGTTGTGTCATAAGCCCTCAACTAGTTTCGACCAATGGATCGTCCTCAGGAAGTACCTAAAGAGCTGTCCAAGGATGTCAGGGACAAGATTATAGACCTACACAAGGCTGGACTGGGCTACAAAACTATCGCCAAGCAGCTTGATGAAAAGGTGACAACAGTTGGTGCAATCATTTGCAAATGAAAGAAAGACAAAACAACTGTCAGTCTCCCTAGGTCTGGTGCACCACGCAAGATCTCACCTCGTGGAGTGTCAATTATCCTGAGAACAGTGAGGAATCATCCCAGAACTACACATGAGGATCTTGTCAATGAACTCCAGGCAGCTGGGACCACAGTCACCAGGAAAAAAATTGGTAACACACTATGCCGACAAGGATTGAAATCCTGCAGTGCCCGCAAAGTCCCTCTGCTCAAGAAAGCACGTGTCCAGGCCCCTCTGAAGTATGCCACTGAACATCAGAATGATGCAGAGGAGGACTGGTTGAAAGTGTTGTGGTCAGATGATACCAAAATCGAGCTCTTTGGCATCAACTCAACTTGCCGTGTTTGGAGGAAGAGGAGGAATGCTGCCTATGACCCCAAGAACACCATCCCGACTGTCAAACATGGTGGTGGAAACATTCTGCTTTGGGGGTGTTTTTCTGCTAAGGGGACAGGACAACTGCACCGCATCAAAGGAACGATGGACGGGGCAATGTACTGTCAAATCTTGGGTGAAAACCTTCTTCCCTCAGCCAGGGCATTGAAAATGGGTCATGGATGGGTGTTCCAGCATGACAATGACCCAAAACACACTGCCAAGGCAACAAAGGAGTGGCTCAAGAAGAAGCACAGTAAGGTCCTGGAGTGGCCTAGCCAGTCTCCAAACCTTAATCTGATTGAAAATCTGCAGAGGGAGCTGGAAGTTTGAGTTGCCAAATGTCAGTCACCAAACCTTAATGATTTGGAGAGGATCTGCCAAGAGGAGTGCAAAAAAATTCCTCCTGAGATGTGTGCAAGCCTGGTGGCCAACTACAGGAAATTCTGACCTCTGTGATTTCCAACAAGGGATTTGCCACCAAATACTAAGTCATATTTTGTGATGGGGATCAAATACTGATGTCAGGAATGGACTTGCCAGTAATGGTGGGACTCACCTGCCTTGTGGGCTGCAGTACCAGGGCTGGCCAGCGGGTGCTCCCGGCAATCAGAGACTCAACCCTGCAGCAGCCAGCCAAACACCTGAAGCTGATCATGCAGGTGTATTTTAAGGGATGGCCAGACCTGCAGTCTCTGCCTTGGTGTGTTTTTTCCTCGGCCCTGTATCTTGTTACCTGCATCCCTGTTCCTGTCTGACTGATTCGTTGCTGACCCTGCCTGATCCGGACCTCTGCTGACTTCTCCTGTTTCATCCCTGGCTTGGGACCCCGACCATTCTCTGCCTGACCCCCTGTACCTACCTGCCCAATTGTTATTGACCCGGCCTGCCTGACGACGCTTGCATTGTATGTACTGTTATCTGTGGGTGGTTTGGTTTGGTTCGTTTGCACTGTGTTATGTTTTAGTATTCACTGCGTTTATGTTTGTATTGTTAGTCTTTAATAAATTATATTGTTTATAACTTATCTGAAGCCTGCGTTTCCCTGCGTCAGTCACATACCTCTGGTCACACCTCGGAGCCCTGACATTACACCAAGGCCAATCCTGACCAGAAGTGGCTGCACAGGGAAGCCATCTTGGCTTGTTGCTGGGAAGGATGGATCTGGATGAGGTTGTGTATTTATCTCTGCTAGTGTTTGATGACAGAGAATATGCTTATCAGACTCTGAAGGAGTATCCCCGGGATGAACTGCTAGAATGTATACGGCTCGCTCATGTTCTAGTAGATCAGGGCACAGAATTCTCTGAGGAGCAGCCATTGATTCAGGTTTGTGCTGAGTTGGTTTCATCTGGTACCCCCGAATGCAGGGATGAATTTTTGCCGCCATTTAGTGCCGACCAGGTAGAGTCCCTGGTATGGTTATTAGAGGATGATGTGGATTACTTTCTGGAGCGTTTATTCTGCATGTTCACCACAGATACTAAGAGAGATTGTATAAACGCAGTGCAGTCATTGACCAGACAGGCTTTGTGTAAGCTGAGCTTTGTTCAACCCATACTGCAGACATGGTCAGACTTGTTGCACCCAGCCTCAGTCAGCTTACAACATCATTCCTCCACTCAAGGCACTCTTCCTGCACCCCCGACAGCACCCCCAGTGACTGCCCAGTTTACTCTAACTACCACATACCAGTCCTCTGCTCCCACTTGCTGCACCTATCCTTTCTTTAACCCTGTAAAGAAGACCTCTGTAGCAACTGCTCCCTCCTCTGTTTCATCTTCCAGCTCTTCTCTGTCCTCAGCTGCTCCATTCGTTTGCAGACCTGCGTTTACTTGCAGTGCCCCAGTAGTTAAAACCAGAAAAAAGCGGAAATTCTTTCCAACCAGTACCATCCTGCCAGTATCCAAACCGGTGAGCCTGCCGTCTGAGAACCCGCCTTCCGTGGTTCAGCCTGGTGCCTCGGCACCCGCACTTCAGCCTGATTTCTGTACCCAGCCTGATGTCTGTACCCAGCCTGATGTCTGTACCCAGCCTGATGAACTGATCCAGCCTGATGATCCTATCACGCTTGATGACCCCGTGCCCGCTGTCGAGCCAGACGATCCGGTACCTGATGACCCGGTGCCCACTGTCATGCCTGGTGACCCGATGCCCACTGTCGAGCCAGACGATCCAATGCCTGATGACCCAGTGCCCGCGGTCATACCTGGTGACCCGATGCCCGCTGTCGAGCCAGACGATCCAATGCCTGATGACCCAGTGCCCGCTGTCATGCCTGGTGACCCGATGCCCACTGTCGAGCCAGACGATCCAGCGCCAGATGACCCGGTGCCCGCTGACGATCCAGACGATCCGGTACCTGATGACCCAGTGCCTGCTGTCATGCCTGGTGACCCGATGCCCGCTGTCGAGCCAGACGATCCAGCGCCAGATGACCCGGTGCCCGCTGTCGTGCCAATTGACTCAGAGTCCACTGTTGTGCCTGGTGACTCGGTGCCCACTGCCTTGCCAGATGACGCGGTGCCCGCTGTTGAGCCAAATGACCCGATGCCTAATGACCCGATGCCCGCTGTCGAGCCAGACGATCCAATGTCTGACCCAGTGCCCGCGGTCATGCCTGGTGACTCGGAGCCCACTGTCATACCTGGTGACCCGATGCCCGCTGTCGAGCCAGACAATCCAATGCCTGATGACCCAGTGCCCGCAGTCATGCCTGGTGACCCGATGCCCGCTGTCGAGCCACACGATCCAGCGCCAGATGACCCGGTGCCTGCTGTCGAGCCAGACGATCCGGTACCTGATGACCCGGTGCCCGCTGTCGTGCCAATTGACTCAGAGCCCACTGTCGTGCCTGGTGACTCGGTGCCCACTGCCTTGCCAGATGACGCGGTGCCCGCTGTCGAGCCAAATGACCTGATGCCTGGTGACCCGATGCCCGCTGTCCAGCCAGACGATCCAATGTCTGACCCAGTGCCCGCGGTCATGCCAGTTGACTCGGAGCCCACTGTCAAGCCTGGTGACTCGGTGCCCACTGCCTTGCCAGATGACGCGGTGCCCACTGGCGAGCCAAATGACCTGATGCCTGGTGAACCGATGCCCGTTGTCGTGCCTGATGACCCGGTGCCCGCCACCCCGCCTGGGGGCCCGGTGTCTGCCGCCCCTCCTGGGGGCCCGGCGCCCGTCGCCCCGCCTGGGGGCCAGATGCCTGTCGCCCCGCCTGGGGGCCCGATGCCTATCGCCCCTCCTGGGGGCCCGGCGCCCGCCACTCTCCGCCTAGGGGCCTGGCGCCCGTCGCCCCGCCTGGGGGCCCGATGCCCATTGCCCCGCCTGGGGGCCCGATGCCCGTCGCTCTGCCTGGGGGCCCGATGCCTGTCGCCCCGCCTGGGGGCCCGGTGCCTGCCGCTTCGCCTGGGGGCCCGATGCCTGTCGCCCCGCCTGGGGGCCCGGCGCCCGCTGCCCCTCCTGGGGGCCTGGCGCCCGCCGCTCCGGCTGGGGGCCCTGTGCCCGCCGCTCCGCCTGGGGGCCCGGTGCCTGTCGCCCTGCCTGGGGGCCCGATGCCTGTCGCCCTGCCTGGGGGCCCGATGCCTGTCGCCCTGCCTGGGGGCCCGATGCCTGTCGCCCCTCCTGGGGGCTCGGCGCCCACCGCTCCGCCTGGTGGCCCGGTGCCTGCTGCTCCGCCTGGTGGCCCGGTGCCTGCTGCTCCGCCTGGTGGCCTGGTGCCTGGTGCTCCGTCGGGGAGCCTGGCGCCCGCTGCTCCGCCTGGTGGCCCGGTGCCCGCTGCTCCGCCTGGTGATCCGGTGTCCAGCTGATGTTCCCTCTGCCCGGAGTCCAGCTCGATGTGCCTCTGCCCGGAGTCCTGCCCGGAGTCCAGCTCGATGTGCCTCTGCCCGGAGTCCTGCCCGGAGTCCTACCCGATGTGCCACTGCCCGGAGTCCTGCCCGATGTGCCGCTGCCCGGAGTCCTGCCCGATGTGCCGCTGCCCGGAGTCCTGCCCGTTGTGCCTCTGCCCGGAGTCCAGCTCGATGTGCCTCTGCCCGGTGTGCCGCTGCCCGGAGTCCTGCCCGTTGTGCTGCTGCCCGGAGTAGCCCGATGTGCCGCTGCCCGGAGTCCTGCCCGATGTGCCAGTCTTTGATATCCCGCCAGTTACCAGACCCGGGCGGTGAACATTTTGCCCAGCTAGGACTGTTTGGAGCGTCCTGAGGCCGAGGACGCTCCTTGAGGGGGAGGTACTGTCAGGAATGGACTTGCCAGTAATGGTGGGACTCACCTGCCTTGTGGGCTGCAGTACCAGGGCTGGCCAGCGGGTGCTCCCGGCAATCAGAGACTCAACCCTGCAGCCAGCCAAACACCTGAAGCTGATCATGCAGGTGTATTTAAGGGATGGCCAGACCTGCAGTCTCTGCCTTGGTGTGTGTTTTTCCTCGGCCCTGTATCTTGTTACCTGCATTCCTGTTCCTGTCCCTGTCTGACTGATTCGTTGCTGACCCTGCCTGATCCGGACCTCTGCTGACTTCTCCTGTTTCATCCCTGGCTTGTGACCCCGACCATTCTCTGCCTGACCCCCTGTACCTACCTGCCCGATTGTTATTGACCCGGCCTGCCTGACGACGCTTGCACTGTATGTACTGTTATCTGTGGGTGGTTTGGTTTGGTTCGTTTGCATTGTGTTATGTTTTAGTATTGCACTGCGTTTATGTTTGTATTGTTAGTCTTTAATAAATTATATTGTTTATAACTTATCTGAAGCCTGCGTTTCCCTGCGTCAGTCACATACCTCTGGTCACACCCCGGAGCCCTGACAACTGATTTCTCTCATGAACATGCAAATCAGTACATAATTTGTTAGACATGCATATCTTTTGAATTTTTTGTTGATATTCTGTCTCTCAGTGTTACAATACACCCACTATTCGATTTTTAGACTGACCACTTCTTTGTGAGTGGGCAAACATTCAAAATCAGCAGGGGATCAAATACTTATTTCCTTCACTATATATATATATATATATATATATTCAGAATCTACACATTTTGAGTATAGACATGGATCAGCTCTGCTTTGTATGAATCCTTCATCTAGCAAGATTTTGTTTATGTTTAAATTCCATGCTCCTGCTGATTGCTTCAGTCCATAAAGAGATTTGTGCAACTTGCTCACAAGATGCTCTTCATTTTTCCCATATCCTTCTGGCTGTCTCATATACATTTTCCTCTTCGATAGGGGGGGACCCCACGCTGTTTTTTTTTTTTTTTTTTTTAAATGTTAGCAATTCTTTTGTTTACATTCTGCTATCAACGGGGAACCCGGTCCTTTACAACCATGACAGTTATTGGATCGCATGTGATATTTAGGGAAAATGTGTCCGAACACCTAAATACCGCATACAATATGTTTTAGTATATGGAGCCCACTGTGTGGTATGCCTGAAGTATAAAAAGCATACCACTGTGTGGTATACCTGAAGTATAAAAATGAGAAAATACCTCTTTTTCCAGGAGTCAGTTTTTCCATTGGATTGGACAGCAAAGATCTGAATGAATTAAGTCCAGAGGTTTCCTAAGTCTTCTGTTACTCTGCTTTGAAAAGGATTTTCTTGTTATTTTTCCTTTTATATAGCTGGTGCAATTAACTTCTTCAGTATGACAGGACTTCTCTGCCCAAGTTGTCTGTGCCACGTGTGAATGCCATTTGAATGTTTTTCCTTCTTGACAGTATTAACCATCTCATTGCATTTCAGCTGATACAGTTCATCTGTAATTTTACCCTTTGCAAGTAAGATATCCCCTTTTGTGAAGGCACAACTGTCATCTTGGTAGGTCACTACATTGCCTTGTTTTGTGAGCTTCTTCACTGACAAAAGATTAATTTCAAGAGCAGGGACATACAGGACATTTTTCACAAGTATCTTACTGGTGACACTCTGGGAAATAGGACAGTAAATAAAAACATCTCTTATTCCTTCTGATTCCATTATTTGCCCATTAGCTGTATTGATTTTTTCTGTTTTACTTTGGTCAAGGTGAATAAAGAAATTTCTGTCATTTATCATGTGACTCGTAGCTCCTGACTAAACTCACCATGCTTGAAAAGATGAGGTACAACTTTTGGATTGAAAAAACAATTTCATTGTCTGAAGAAAAATCAGTTTCTTCCTTCACACTTTTGGCAGTTTGTAGTTGAATTTGTTTTTGCATCCTAGCTCTCCAGATTCTGCAATCTGCTTTAAATGACCTTGTTTCTTGCACACAATGCATTCAAGTGTTTCTGCGACAGACGCGCCATCACTAGTAATGCTTTCTGTTTTAAGCTTATATTTATCCGCAAGCTTGCCCTTAACTTATTTGAATGTCAGTTCATCATCAAGGCGTGCCTCAAGTACTGTGACAAGAGTTTCATAACTTCTTGTTAAGGACTAAGTAATAGTGCTGCAACATGAAAATCTTTTATTTCTTCTCCTATACCTCTCAGGTGGTCAACTATTTCCAAGGTGTGCCTTATATAATCCTGCATATCCTGGCCTTTCATCAGCTTGGTTTGGTATAGCTTTCTAATCAAATACAGTTTATTGCTGAGATTAGATCTTTCATGCACCTTTTGTAATCTTCCCATATTTTTTTAGCAGTTTCACACTTACATTGACTGCATGTATGATTTGATCATCTTCTGTGCTAAGACAGATTGTGCTCTGAGCTTTCTGATCTTTCTCTATCCACTTATCTAAAGGGTGTTCTGGCCGGACTTCATTTATACATTTCCATGTACCTTCTCTCATGAGCAGCAATTTCATCTTGAATATCCAAGATTGGTAGTTCTGTTTTGCAAATTAAAGTTTTGTTGCAGCTCTGTTGCTGGCCATTTTCTTTTTTTTCTGTTGCAGTCTTCTTTCTGTTGCTGTATCATACACTTATCTTCTGTAGTGGGCTATGACTGGGTGTCTGGGCTCAATCTTGCAAGCATATAACAATTAAAAATGCAAGTAGTAGTTAAAGTTAACTAGATCCAGTTTTATAACAATTGTATGCTTTTTTATTTTTATTTTTATTGTGAGAGTGTCATTACAAGAACAATGGCCGCAACATTTGGTCAACAATTTAACTCAAGAAAGGCAATATACAGTATGTAGTATAGGCTGGGAGAGATCTAACAGTGACAATTGTATGCTTTATCTCTTATCCTCTTAGATGATTAATTTGGTTGTAAACAAAAAATCTACAAAGCCTTGCTTTAGAGTTTAGACGCACTAGTAGTCACCATATTTTGGATCCTGAAACAATGCCTCCCTAAATTCTCTCATAATATTGGAGGTTTGCAAATTATTTTGGCCACCTGCTGCTAGCTTGGAATTTGCTGTATACAATAAAAATTGCTGTGTATGATCCACAGAGACAAAGATTTGCCATATGTTCGTAATGAAAAGACTAAATACGTGCCATATACACAGTGCTTTTTATCTGGTTTATGTACATTTATTTTCTATATACACTTCTCTTTCCACATATA